CATGGGCAATGCTAAGTCTATGGCATAGGATTAACATGGGTAATGCTTAATCTATGGCATAGGATTAACATGGGTAATGCTAAGTCTATGGCAATGCTAAGTCTATGGGTAATGCTAAGTCTATGGGCAATGCTAAGTCTATGACATAGGAATTACATGGGCAATGCTAAATCTATGGGCAATGCTAAGTCTATGGGCAATGCTAAGTTTATGACATAGGAATAACATAGGCAATGCTATGTCTATGACATAGAGATAACATGGGCAATGCTAAGTCTATAGGCAATGCTAAGTCTATGACATAGAAATAACATAGGCAATGCTATGTCTATGACATAGAGATAACATGGGCAATGCTATGTTTATCACATTGAGATAACATAGGCAATGCTAAGTCTATGGATAATGCTAAGTCTATGGGTAATGCTAAGTCTATGGGCAATGATAAGACTTACTAAGCTGAGACAGTGAACTAACAATAAAAAATATTGAAAAATGATATTCAGTTAACAATTCTTTTAAAATTAAATTTTCAAAATACAATTATTAAACGCAATATCTATAGACTATCTATTCTTTGAGCATTTCCCGAATTGTGGTTAACGTATAGCATCGCTGTGTGAACCTTGTTTCAATTAGTAGAGGTGAAGCCAATATACGCACAAACCATTGCGTCGTCAGTAAACATAATGTTCTTGAGAAAGTTGTCAAAAATGTTGTATGTATGTCCCTGACATTCTCCAGTAGTGACCATTTACTTCAAGAAAACATTAATCAAAATATCTATGTAATATTATTGTGTAAATTGCTAATATTACTATCACATTAAAATTATTTATACAGTAATATTACATAGATATTTTGACTAAATGTTTTCCTGAATGAAATGGTCACTACTGGAGAATGACCGGGACATACATACAACATTTCTACAACTTTTTTAAGAACATTGTGTTTATTGACCACGCAATGGTTTGTGCTTATATCGGTTTCACTTCTACTTTTTTTAGAGCCGAGACCTTGAGCCGAATTGGTTGAGCCTAGTCCCATAGGATTATCATAGGGAAAACCTGCCCATTCTTTTTATATTTTGCTTTCCCATAGGATTTACATTACCCATAGAGCAACAGTATCTTATGTTGTTTGATGATTTTATGAAAAAAGCCCCATAAGATTAACATTACCCATGTTAAGTAAAGGATTACTGTATATGTAATAGTATTAGCATCCAATCTCATGTTAAATCCCATAAGGTGCGGGGCGGGGGAGTGCAGTGAGATAGCTAAACTATCCTATAGACCACATTTTTAACAACAATTCATATATGAAGAATGTGGTTTATAGGATCGTTCTGCCCCCTCCCCACTATGGGAGTCTATGGGAGTGAATCGGGTCTCAGAGAGTCATTTGACTTATAGAGAGATCAGAGTTATAGATGGTTCGACTCACGGAATTTATGTGTACATGACTAGTATCTATCATATTTTCAAGGGTTATCCGTTTCAATATTATGCAAATTTTGTAAAACAAATACAAGATTTTCATCAATTTTCTTCCATAAAAGCTATAAAAACTAATATAAAATCTAAACTACTGTTTGATTTGAATAATTCTTTTTAACCACAATTCAGCTATGATTAATGTGGTTTATAGGATTGTAATAACTTTCGTGAAGAAAGTGTTCAGAAATGAATGACACACGGTTTATATTACATCAATAAGGATATCACAACACTCTTCCAATTCTGTTTAATACACTAAAATATTTTCAAATTTCATAGTAAAGGGACAGTCATTTATGAATGACCGGAAGTGCTAATATCTATAGATTAGTTTCCTTTTTTGTCAGAGCACATTTAAACTCAAGCACTTTATGTTTACAATCGAGCATTTAATGTACTGTGTGTACAAATTACAGTACATTGACTATGTAAATGTTTATAACAAACCATTGTTTCTTCTTTTTAGCAAAAAATGACTTATTTTTTCGAGAAATATTTGAGTCAAGTGAATCAAAATTTTATGGCTAATAAAGCAATATCATATCTTTTAATATTAAAAGTTATAATTAGATTTAATGACGCAATTGTTGGTAAATAAAATTTTCATGAGGGTTTACTCTCCATTGAGATATAATGTAAAATGAATGAAAATACAATAACTTTCTAGAATTTATATAAATTTACAATAAAATGAACGAATGATTTCAATTATTAATATATTATAACACCAGAATAAACTTATGTATATAAGTGGTGATTTAAATTAGATATTGTTTTAAATCCTAATTGATTTATTAAATTCCAAAGCACTCAAAGATCCAATGTAATGATGAGAGAGCATCTCGGCAAAATATTAATTACCGATGGTCGGGTTATTGTATTTAATCTGTATTTTCAAAAACAATCGATATGAGAGTAATTTGTAAATTATAAAATTTTGATTCAATTAAAATGCAAAATAACGCACCATGGTCAATGTACTTTGAACACATAGAATAAATTATGAATTAATTTATAAATTTAATTGTTTTAATTGCAATCAAGACGTAAATTATTTATTGAGACGAGAGCTCTCAATATAATATTAATTCAAGTCACAAAAAGCTAAAGCTAAAATGTAATTAATTTTACATTTTAAAAATATTTCATGTTTAACAAATATTTGGCAAACAATATAAAATATTGTGCATTGCTTTACTAATGATAATAAAGTATTGAATATTACCAAGAGTGAACGGTTTGTACACGATCGTGTACACAGCATTATTCAAATGTGTTATAATTTATACACTATTCGTATATTATTCATAGATAGTGTACAATAATGTAAAAGCGGGGTTTATTATAAACCTGAATAAACCATTTGAATAAACTTTTATTAAATATAATATTTTGAGTATTCAAAGGAGAGATAATGACTATAAATAGAGTAACGCTTATTTTGAATTAATGCTTAAAAATTGACTTGATCATTCAATAATCACGTTGAATTAATTTCATCCCTACCCTCCCTCAAACCGGTGTTGAATATTACAATAGTATTCAACGGGTGTCCGATGTCGTGCGGGAAGCTTAAAAATGTGGCTAAATTTGACGCCAACTTCTTTACGGTCACCGATTGGGAGGCAGACTATATGGACGCTCAGATCAGGGCTATGCTCGAGACCACATACGAGGCCATCGCTGACTCCGGTTTCTATTAAACGCAATAATTAATTTAATTATTATTTAAAAATCATTAAAAATATAAACTTGTCAAAATAACATCTATTTAAACAAACAATTTAATAAACACAAAGGTACAGTTCCGGAATCATTAAGCGGTACAAACACCGGGGTATTCATAGGTTGCTGTTGGGATGAAGAATCAAAGGCCTATCGAGACGACACACAAATGCCGTCGTATAAAAACTTTATGTCCCAAACAGTGGCCAATAAATTTAATTTAAAGGGACCGATCCTTTCGGCGGACAGCGCTTGCAATTCCAGTTTTGTGGCCCTAAACGAGGCCTATTTGGCCATCAAATACGGTCTCTGCGACGCCGCCCTCTGCATAGGCGCCAACATACTTTTTAATCCTAACGATCAGCACAACTTCTTCAGACTTAATATGATATCACCGGACAGTAAGTGCATGTGTTTGGACGAGAGGGCCAACGGGTACGCAAAGGGCGAAGCGGTGGTCACTGTATTCTTGCAGCACAGGTCACGGGCACAGAGAGTGTACGCCACTATTGTTAACATCGCTTCCAATAACGACGGGCACAAGTCTGAAGCCATAACGTATCCGAGTTGGCACAGACAGCGTACGGTCATCGCCAGGACGTACGCCGAGTGCGGTGTAGATCCGGCCCGAGTTGACTACGTGGAGGCCCATTGCACCGGCACTAAGGCCGGCGATCCCGTAGAGATGCGGGCCATTTACCAAGCGATGGCAGCCACAGGTTTGTCAAATTTAATTATTAACTTGTCCCATTTATCAATGCATTCGTGTTTTAAAGCGGAATGCTTGGAGAAAATATTACGCTGCATTTACTACTTGTATTTCCAGAAAGACATTGATTTTTAAAAGCCAAAATAGTAAGGCAACCGTTGACGAACGGATTCTTTTTCTCAGTTTTCAGCATAATAATGATTATACCAATTATTTATACATTTAAGAGCATTAGTTAAATACTCGTGTTATGAATCTTTGATTAATTGAACAATTAGTGTTGCGAACTCGAATATCGAAGCCAAATAACCCGGCTTAACCACAATTCTGGTATTACTCAAAGTACAGATTAGTATAATCTACAGATTTAATTAAAGTTCATAAGATTAGCATTAGTCCCATAGAGTAAGCATTGTCCATAGATTTAGCATTGCCGTAGACAAGCACTGTCGATAGACTTAGCATTACTCATACATATAGCATTAATCCCATAGATTTAACATTAGTCCTGTATGATTACCATTTAGAAAAACTAGTCTTTCTCTTCATATTTCGCTTTCCCAAAGGAAATAACGTTCCTATAGGATTAATATTACTCAAATCTATGTCATAGGATTAGAATGCAATCACATGTAAAATCCCATAAAGCGGGGGCGAAGGGGAGGGGGCGAAGGGGAGGGGGCGAAGGGGAGGGGGCGAACAATCCTAAGTGTTGTCAACTGTACTACCGCGAATTTCGGCAATAAACTCTTAATAACAGATAATGTAGGTATTTATTGTTTAAAACTTAATAGGGCGGTCAAGAGATAATT